ACATGCTTTCTTCATCTGCAGAACAAAACATTGGTAAAGAATCATAGAAGTTAGTCACCCCTCAGTTTAGGGTGCACTGAGCAAGGGCCAAGTTTAATAGTAGTATGGAAAGAAAATAGATTGAGTGAAAGGAAGGATGACTTTGAAGTATCCCATGAGCTGACTATTAATGAACAAGGTGGTAGAACTTTTTTTATGTAACACACCATGGCATTGCAGTACATAAAACCTTATTTTAATACCTTAAGGGAATGGAAATCTATTATCAAAGACATATTCTGTTGAGTGCATAATCCACTGAGATATTGATTCAGAAGAAGCAACATAAAGCCAAAGCATAAGAATTCAGAGACTGTCTTCCTCTGACTTATTGGCAGACCTCAATGAGCCATATATTAAATAGATATTGATCATTACCAGCAGCACTGATTGCAAATTCCAATGACAATTCCAGGAGCATTTTTGTCCCATAAAAAAATATAGAGTCACTAATAGGGCATCTTATGTCCTTTCTCAAGGAAAAATACCAAAAATCAAAATGCTTCAACTTGTTTTTTTACAAAAGGCCCTAATAAAAGCTGAAGATGTTCTTGAAACATTTTAAAGATCCCTACAACTTTCTATTCCTTTACAATGTTCACATTCTTGTGTATGTCCTTCACAAATTTGAGACTTGACCTTCTAGCTATAGGGAGGTATTTTATACATGGTATAGCTTCACTATTCTCCCCAAAGGGGAATTGTGTTCAAATGAAACTAAGCAGAACAATTGACATAAGGAGAGTGTGGTCACCTAAGATAAGTAAAGAAGTGGTTAGGAATTACTTGGGTCCTATGAATGAATTTAAATTTGTAAGGCCAAACCAATTATATCCAAGAGTCTGGAAGTAGCTTGCTATCTGGACATCCTTTATGCAATGAAGTTTGTAAGAACGTGGAGGATGGACACAGTGCCACAGGATGGGAGAAAAACAAACATTGTTTCTATCTTTAAAAGGGAGAAGAAAGAGGACTTGGTCAGCTTCATGTCCAAAGAAACCCCTTGAACAAATTGTTAAACGGTTGCTTTGTGACATTTAGAATAGAATTCTTTGCTTGGTAGGAATCAGCATGGGTTTATCAAGGCCAAACCAATATGGGTTTATCATGCCAAACCTCCTTTTCTGATCTCCTTTTCTGAAAGCAACCAAGACAATGGATTTACAGAAAAAAGTTGTAGGTGTTTGGTATGTTTTACCTTGAGAAGAGAAGACTTCAGGGAGACACAATAGCAGTCTGAAAGCATCTGAAAGAAGATGGGGTAGAGTTGTTCAGAATTATTCAGGAAAACAAGACATGAAACAATAGGTTTAAATTACAGTACAGATTTCAGGTGGACATCAGGCAAAATGATCTAATGGTAAGAGTTATTCAACAGTGGAACAGACTGCCATGGGACGTAGTGGACTCTCCTTCACTGGAGGTGCTTAAATGGAGACTGGATGGCCATCTTCCAAGGATGCTGTTGTAATATATTCTTCCATGGAATTGGATTAGTTTATCCCAAAGTACTTTTCAACTCTTATATTCTATGATTCTATCATTTTGGCTGTATAAACACTTTAGATTTACTACTTTCATTAGAATATGATCTTAATCACCAGCCAAAATAAATGAATGAAGTGTTTATTGATATGGCCATCAAAATGCCCATTTTCCATAAAATAGTCAGGGGTCCAAAATTATGTATCTTTTCTTTGGAATTGCATATCTGATAAAATGTGACTCTCCCTCCATCTCAGTTGTTGCCTTTAAAAGTTTTGTAAAGTCCTTGAAGAATGGAGGCTGTCCCCAAGACATAACTTTAGCATTATTATAGCTATTTACTTATTTGATTGATTGATTGATTGATTGATTAATTGATATGGCCTCTCATCTCATGAATGGGATTCTGGATGGCTAACAACATGTTAAAACAGTTTTAAAAATGTACTGGCAAAGAATAAAAAAAAGCAATAGTATCCTATTCATAAGACTATAAATTGGACCATATTTTGAGGAGATATTTCTCCATTTTCCCTATTTTCTCATAGAACAAGCTCCCATTATAGGAAGTCTGTTTTTTAATAGCCGAACATCATCATTTATGGTGCAATCTTCTATTAATTTTAAGACGGGTTTCAGGAGCCTTTATTCTGGGGCAGATGTCAGCTGCATTCCCCACCAATGTAATATGCTACAGCAACACAAATCCTTCATTATATATGAGAGATTTTTGTGCTAACTGAAAATGAAGAACATCTGAAAATTCTGGGAATTCATTATAAGTCCAGTTAACATTGGTATAGAAAAATTCTTTATTGCTAAATGCAAGAATGTAATCACGTACAAATGATATTTTTATTTATAGCAGCATAACCATGGAGTACAATTTAATATGTGACTATTGCCGGTGAATGAAAAATTACAGTCCAATCCATACAGGATCAAAATGAACAAGAGTGTTCAACATGTCTAAATGAACTGTAAAATGTCTTATCCAATATTTTAATTTGAATTTCAAAATTTCACATTCAGGTTGGACAATCTTGACTTTTTTTTTAACATAAACTTCCAAAAATTAAAGGTGCTAAATTTGTGAAAAGGCTATTACCTTCCCCACCCTCCTGTTTTGATACACTCAACTTCTAAAACCTGGAATTCTAAAACCTGGAGAATGGAGCTGGAGCTAGAGTTATATATTATTACAATTTAAATCATGGTGTGCTCAGATTCAATTCATATCAATATAGTTGTATCCATCTTTTACTATTCTCCAAAACAGAGATTATTCCAAATCGCAAATCTAAATCCAAACTATGGCATTCATCAGAAAATTCTGTTGAAAAACTCTAAAGTCCTATTTGTACAGTCTTACATTTTCTTCCCACACTGAGCTGTCAGAAACCTATGGGAAATGCACAAGCAGAGTATGAGTACAGTATAATAGTACCTGTTGCTCATGTTCCCCCATAACTAATTTTTAGATTCATAGTTGTTTTTGAAGCTCAAATTATGCAACCATCAGAATTAATAACAGCCTTATCCTTCATGAATTTATCTAATCTCTTTTCAAAGTAGTCATATTAGCCCTCATTTTGCCTGGTGATATGCTGGCATTGTTGCTAAAGACAAACCCTAGAAATCCTCTCTATTGTTATTTATTTGCCAGATGTTATATGTTTGTATAGATTGTTTTGTTTTGTTTTTTGACAGAATTTTCTGCTTCTTCAGTTCATCTCATTTTATCCTCTTTTACTAAATAATGAAAAAAACAAAAACAACTAAGATTTGGGTTCTATTTTTTGGAGGCTTGGAGTTAGATGCAGTCATAATTGTTGCTTTTTTCTTGCAGTAATTTACTAGGAGATATGCAAATAAACTTGAAGAAAATTAATATGAAAAGAAATTGATATATTCACATTCCAGAATTAATGACAGACATTCAGGAGATGGACAATGAATAATAGAGCAATCTTTTAGGAATGGGAGATATTTTCTAATTTCTATCCCACAATGAAAATATTAACATTCCTTTATAAAAAAAAAAAAGAACTCCTTATCACTACATATTATCTATCTATCTATCTATCTATCTATCTATCTATCTATCTATCTATCTATCATCTTTTTTATGGTGAAGCTATCAGTGTCCTCTTCTTGCAAGCTTTCCCAAGGGAGTCAAATCCTCCCTGTCTAAAACAAAAGAGAAGATGCTTTGGCAATATTAGGCTAAGCAGCTTATTATATGATACTCCTATCCCACCCTCTGCTGGCCAGTTGCTAGGGCTTGATCCAGAACATGGATGACTCAGGAATTATTACTATGCTTCTAGATGGCACTGTACCATCAACTCTGACAAGCTTCTACCTATATCTCTAGAGTCTGATAGATCTGAAGTGGTGTCACAGTGATGATCTATTTGATCATATCCTCCCAAGAGAGCCATGAGGATCCTCTGAATTCTCTTTATCTCCATAAGTATAAGGGACAGAGAACTCTATGATATGATCTAGTTTTCAGATGGTCATTCAGATATGTGATGTGTCAACCCATGGAAGGGTGCTTTGTATGTTGTGTCATACATTCTTTATCATCCTTTCTCCCCCCCCCCCCCCCCCCCCAACATGTCTTAATACCCATTCGAAATATCTCACTTCACCCAAAATGTGTGGGTGGTATTTTTGTGGATTTGAATTATTTTTTTCTGGATTCGGAGATGGAC